TATATTACGAGAGTTGTGGCTTCACCAGAAGTGAAAATTCGACAAGATTTTTTTGAATGTTTGGTGTCTAATTTCATCAACATACTACGAGATGTTAGCTCCATGCATGCAGGTCATATTTTTGCTCATATTATTTATGACATTTTTTTTTCGGAAAGTAAATTAAGCATTTTTGGAGGAAATATTTTTTTGGGGACCTTCAAAATTGAAAAACCAATATGTTGATCCACTACATATCACATACGCTAGTACAAGATGCATTTCCCTATCTGCGTTCATTTTTTTTAGTATGCAACCTTTCTAGCTATATCCCATCATGAGAAATCAACAGTGATGGTTGCATTATGAGATCTTTTCTCGGCATTAGGGGGAGATTTGAAATTTTCTAATTAATTAAATGCCGAGAAATTGATAAAAATCTTATGTACTAGCCTTAAAGAACCAGAAGTTCAGACATTGAACAAATTATCTGCTAGAAATCCCAAGGAGTGACTAAGTCCATAGAAAATATCTTAAGAGTTGAAATCCCCAACTAGGACTAAACATCTCTACCATTATGCCAGAAGCATATATTGGTTTAAGAATTTACAAAACTAGATCTAGTGTAGAAATTCCGTCACTCCAGAAATATAGAAATTTTATCCTGAAGATATTCGTCTAGAAGGCGAAAACACCCCAGTAAAATTGTAGGTGCACCAAATAACTAAAATACTGGGGAAGCGGAACAACCAAATCCAAATACTTTTGGGAAATGTCATATATTTGGTTGATACAAAATTGCCATGTGTATAAAAGATATCTACAAAGCTGTTACAGTTGTCGACAACATATTTTGCCTCTATTGCTCATAAATACTTAAGTCTGGATCCAGAAATGAAAATAGTAGTATAACGCCTGTAGCGTGCTAACTGTTTTCATAGAAAATAGCAATTAAGGCATACAAATCAGAATTCGCTAATAAAAGGCGAGTGGAGGGTTTTCGCAGAGACCCAATATTAGTCATGGCTTTATATTCCGCTATTCAATAAAACTAGCAGTAAATAAATTAGATATGTAGCTAATAGTTATAGTTATCACATATTTATATGGGTAACTTGTTACTTATATTTAAAATCCTTGATGGATTTTCTCAAAATGTGATGAATGAAAATCACAAAATAAGAAGTATAGAAGTTAGTAAGTTACTAACTATGATCTTTCTTATAGTCAATAAATTGACTAAAGGTATTTTCTCCCCCATAACAAAGTATGAAAATATATTATCATAAACATGCCTAGTAATGTTATATGTGATTGGAAAACTCAAATATCGTTTCCTCTTGAAAATATCCTAAATATATCCTCTAGTTTATCTTGAAAATCCCTAATGGATATATAATTCTCGAAATGAGGATTTATTTAAGTGCCATTATTTACTTTTTAGAGAGTTGCGAATGGGGTTATTATCCTCATATAGAAGGAATAATATGTACCATTATGTGCTCAATAAAGAGTTGATAATGGACTTATTTATTATCTCAGTCAATATTTATGGTGTAAACATCAATGAAATATATAAAGAGCTTGATAATGTTAAGTTATGAGATAAGATAACGAATAGCAAATCAAGGTAAAAATACTCATATTGATGCTTTTTGGCATGAAGTCATCATACTTGTTACAGATAAAAATGTATATAGTTTTTCATGATATAAAATACCTTAATCCACATGAACTCCAGAAGAGTGATAAAATATTTGTTCAGAAGGTTTGCTCCAGTGACAAGTTAGCAAATATATACCTACAAAATATCCATAAGATTGATATGGGTAGATAAAGAAAAATTATTATATTTAGGGGGAGCAACAAAATATAAACTATAAATAATTTTATTGGTCCAGATGATCATGAGAAAATATGATAAATTCTAATGACAATCCTGAAAGATTATACCATATCCCTTCTCTACACCCTTTAGAAACAATGATTTACAGGAAATATAGAATTTGAAGATTGTTATCTTCAGGGGGAGACATGAAGTACATTCACTCGAATCAATCCTGTAGATTGGTCAATCATGTAAATTGGGTCTTAAAAGGACTAATAGTTATACTTTTTGCAGCATATACATACCATGTACTCTTTTTCTCACTAAGTTTTTCCCAATGGGTTTTCTAGTGTGATTTTTAACGAGGCATGAGTATGATATAGTAATGACAATGGGGAAAATTGCAAAATAATTGGTTAATAAATGAACAAACTCCAAAATCCTGAAGATTATGCAGATTATGCCCTGAAGGCTAATGGTGTACTCCTTTTCCCTTAACTAAGTTTTTCCCACAGGGTTTTCTTAAGTTAAGGTTTTTAATGAGGCGACCAATACAATATATGTTTTTACATATATCATGTACTCTTTTCTTCAACTAGGTTTTTTCCCACGTGGTTTTCCTAGTGAAGTTTTTAATGAGGCATGAATATATTTTCTATTGTACTCTTTTCTTGTCTAGGTTTTTTCCACAGGGTTTTCCTAGCAAGTTTTTAACGAGGCAAGGTCATGGATAAATAATGTCCAAGGGGGAGTGTTATAAATATAATCATTATGTGGACATTATTATAGATTATATAACAGTTGTAACGGTTCATGTATTTATGTCTTCATTATGTCTTCCGTTACATTTGTATATTATATATAGATGTGTTATGGTTATATGGAATACAGATGAATGAGATGGTCTTGCCTCTTACTTTCTCTCTTGACTTATCTCATACTTCTTCTTTCTACAATTCCTTTGATCGTTTGAGCTAATGGGTTACAACAATTTTTTGGTAAGATATTTATTGTAAATGACATTTCAAGTTTGCCTCAAATTCCGGGTCATAGTTTGCCTCTCAAATAAAAGCTTTTAGACTACCTTTTATTAGTACAATTCCTTTTTACGTACTAAAATATCAAAAAAAAGTTATCAAAAAAAAAATATCAAATAAAAGAATTAGTTTTATCACGTTTAGCTACCCAATTGATACAATTGTTAATTAGGTCCATACAACAATTAATCCATGATATCATTTGTCAATTTATATGCCTTAATTTTTCTTTTTATGTTAGATTTTGGCAAGCTCAAATGTTCAAATTGATATTTTAATTTTTTTTTAATTAAATCACAAGGTCAGACTTATCTCTATTCGTATCAGACTGAGTTTTGAACTTTCGATCTTTCTTAAGGAATGAAAGTGCACAGATAGCATAACCACTCACCTCAACCAAGCTGGTTACTAAAATTTTTATTTTAATCTTATGAAAATAAAAATGTTCAATAAGACTCACAAACTGTCCTAGTCAAATATTAATAATATGAAATTTGGCATGATTCAATTAATGAGTTGTTCAAATTCACTTTATTAATTTGATATTAATCAAATGAAGTCAACATCTAGCTTAATGGCACATAAGTGCACGTGCAAGATCAGATCATGATTCATCATTCCCAGTTATTTTGCGTGGCTAATTAATGTAAATAATGTACGAGTGGATCCATCCTTATACCGTGGACCAGAGTTCACACTGCACTGTGAATCTTAATTTATACTGTGAATCTTAATTTATATGTATGTGCTTGTCTTGTGACTTTTTGTATCTTGCGTTATAAAATTTTGTACTTTAAGAGTATTAGCTATGTACCTGACCACAAATAAATAAGTTGTGTAACACATAACATATTGCGTGTCTTATATTATGACTTTGTGTGTCTTGTGTTATGAAATTTTGTGCCTATGAACATATATAAGTTATGTACCTAATCAAATTTGAAAATAAGTCAATATATAACATATGTTTGTGTCTTGTTTTGTGATTTTTTGTGCCTTATTTTATGAAATTTTATACTTTAAAGAGTATAAATTCTGTAGTTGGAATAAATTAGTAGACACACAACATAAAAGTTTGAAAAAATTAAAATCTAAAGATCAAAATAACGTCTTTTTTTTTTTTTTTTATCTAAAGTGTACAATGTTATGTAAATCATGTTCCGTGATATAAATTGCCGCTGACGATGGATTTATATTTAAGAATATAATATAATTTTATATTTTCTTCTCTTTCACTTTTAAGTAGGACTATTTAATTCTTTGATTTGATGCTTCAAACAAAAAAGTAAAAAAGATATTTGATGTGACAAACCTGAAGTGTATAATTTTAAATATTCTTTCTCTTTCACTTGTAAATGAGAAAACGACCAACCGCCGCAAGCCGCAAGCCGCAAAACAAGAATTTAAAAAGCCGAAAATTAAACATTATTTAGCATGTACTCAAAAAAAAAAAAAAAAAAAAAAAAAAACATTAGTTAGCAACTTAGCCACCTCAACAACCCTTCTTTTTAATCTCCTTCGGCCCTAGTTGTGAAGAACTCAGTACTCTTATATCGTACACTAAAATCTACTTTACATTGTCGACTTTTTAAAAAAAAAAAAAAAACCATTATTTACTTTGATCCAAAACACATTCAGATTATGTACATGTGGTTAACATATTATGTAATTTTAATTAATAAATTATATGCCTATTACCACTAACATATTATGTATTTGCAATTAATGAAATTATGTACCAATTACAATTAACGTATTATGTACATATAGTTAACGTGTTATATGTATCTAATTAATAAATTATATATGCAGAGTGAATCTTGATTTAAAAATTTCACCTTAATTTTTCTTTTACAAATAAAATTAATAAATAAGACATAATTTTTCTTTTACAAATAAAATTAATATATAAGACATATATCATTAAAAAACTCTAATTGAAATTCTTTAAATGATACTTATATATAGTGATTTTTTTACACTATTAAATAAACATATCTGTATATAAAATCATTACTTTCGGTAAATAAATTTGGTTCATAAAAGTTAAGTACATAAGTTTACAATCGTAGGTACATAAATTCATTGTTTAAGGTATATATAGCATATACATAAATATAGTGTTCTAAGTAAATAGATTCACTACAATATATTGTTCCAAAATGCGGCATATGACAACCTTATAATTGATATCATTATATGCTAGAAATAAAGTTCTTCAAGCGTTCTTGAACTCTATTGGTATCCATTCCAAGTCTAGGTGAAAATGCCTATCCAACAAAAAATCAAGAAAAACAATTAAAGTTGTCATCACTCATCATGAAACACATATCAAGAGCAACTAAAGACAGATGAACATATATGCAACCAAAATATGCATGATGGAATTATGAGTAGTGTTGCAAAAATCGCGCCAAATCAGTGTCTAGGCGCTGACGAACTGCCACTAGTGAAAATTATGCAATTTCCGACCACCTGAAAGTGATCTTAAATCAAGTTGATACCAAAAAGTGATCGGAAATAGCAAGAAAGGTTTTTCCGGATACCAAAAGTGATCGGAACAAGGCTTTCGACTTGATTTAAGATCACTTTCAGATAGTCGGAAATTTCATAATTTCCAGTAGTGTGCCTAGCGTATCACTATAATCGGTGGTCTAGGTAGCCGACTAGGCTGCCTAGGAACCTTAGGTGCTAGGCGCCTCTTGAGCGTTCGATGAGCGCCTAGTGATGTTTTCAACCATGCATGCTTATGAGCAATTAAAGCAGATAAAAATTCCTGTTTGTTTAATTTGTTTGTTATACCTTGCTAAGAATTGTGTGGTAAATCTTGAGACCCATAGTGGAGCTGTAAGCACTCACAACTTCAACGCCTTCTTCTTTGAGAATACAAAAGACTTTGTGCAACTTAAGGTTTTTGTTCTCCGACCCACACACTATATTTATCTCCAAAATTTCACCCGTCTCACTTTCATTCACGCTTATTATTACCACTGGTAATTGTAGACTATCCTTTCTTGCTTTCAGCTCATTAACGTTTCCCTCTAGTTGTTTAATGTAGTCAGTGGCTTCACCCAACAAATCGAACGCCGGCGATTTTTCCTGTACGTCGGCAAGAAACCATTAATCCGACCCAAACTGAAAAAATTATGGTCACTTTAAATGTCAAAAATAACTAATTCATGTGAAAAACCATCTTCAATGGACGTTGTGTGCTCCTAATATAAAAATTGCTGATATGACAGACAGGAAGGAATGAATATAATGGAAGGATCTAATCGAGAACGTAATAAATTATAGTATACCAGAAGCGGAAGAGTGTTTTTACGAGAGACGAGAGAGGCGAGGCGACGGTAAAGATCTTTCATTTGCTGCCGGCGATTTTTCTCCGTCAAATTCCGGCCAGGTCTCGGCGGTGAGCTGCTGGTGGGCTTCATGTTTTAATATAATTGGGCTAATTAACAACCCTTATTTGTAATGGAATGCATGGGCAATGGACTGTACTGTGGGCATGCCTATATATATATATATATATATATATATATATATATAGGTATAAAATCTGTATCCACGTCAGTCGTGTAAGGGTTCAAAACGACGTCGTCTGAAATACATAAAAAAAAATACTTCCTTCCTTGTCATTTGTCTTCCGAATTCGTTCCTCTATTCACAATTTTAAAACTCTATATTCACAATTTTTTATCTCAATATTCACAATTGCAGAATATTCACAATTACAAAACTCTATATTCACAATTATGTCAATAGTATAACACAATTTTTGGATCTATATTCTCAATTTTTGAACTCTATATTCATAATTTTTGAATTTTATATTCAAAAAAAAAAAAATCTTTGACTAACAAATTGGTATCACTAACAGCACTGTTATTTTAAAGGCCCAACGTCGTTTTGGACTAGGGTCCATGACATAACAATTGCGTACAAGACACATTGCACGCGAAATATGTCGTTTTCATAAATTAATAAGTTGTATTAAGAGTTATTGACTTGCACATCACGTCTGCTGACTGCTGACTTGCACACACCGCCCCAGTTGTTTATTTTTCTTTAGAGCAAACTCATCAATATTGTTTTTTTTTTTTTTTTTTTTTTTCCACAACGTTTTAGAAGCCATATAACATAGAGGGAGGGGGAAACAAATTAAAATGAAAAGTTAATAAAAAAAAATAAGTTCTTGTTATGCGCTCAGCTAGCGCGTGTAGTATTTGCGCTTATTGGACGGGGCGAGCGAGACCTACACACCTACTGAGTGAGTTGCCTTTTGTTTTTTACCTGCAGTAAGTCCCACTAAAAACTTATATTTGTAAAAGTTAGGAGTCGTTTACCAAAATGAAAAAATAGAGAATTTTTTTGAAAACAACAAAGAATATAATTGGAGAAATGAAAGAATGAAAAATAAAAACTTGTTTCCTAAAATCTATTCTCTAATTTCCTATCTTCTCCCCCTTTCTCCCCATGTATGTTTTTGGAGAACTCTTATTTGGACTTTTCCAAATAAAGGAATGGAAGATACATGCGTGAATAGTTGCTAGGCGGCAACTTATATCGTGCACCGCGGTGCATAATCGATTATGCACCGCGCGTTAGATAATACAGTGTGTCTAAACCGACACTGTCAAAACGACGTTGTTTTATTTAATGAAAAGAAACATAATCTTCGCAAAAAAATAACTCTGTTCTTCAGTTTCATTTTGTATACACTACAATTTCAGTTCAACACAACTATAGTTTCATTTCGATATAACTACAGTTTCATTCAATATTTATACACTCAAATATGTGAAAATGTTATTTAATTTTATTTTATATACACTATAATTTCATTAAAACACAACTACATGATAATTTGAATATAATTACAGCTTCATTGTACAATATACACTCAAATATGTGAAATGTTATTCAGTTTCATTTTATATATACTGTAGTTTCATTTCACCACCACTACAGTATCATTTTGATATAACTGTAATTTCATTTGATAACATAAAAATAATATGTGAGTCAGTGTCGATTTAGACACACTGTAGTGTCTGACGTGCGGTGCCTAATCGATTATGCACCGCAGTGCACGATATAACCAGAGTCCGGGGGTTTGAATAGTTATTTGGACTTCTTCCTCCGATCCTATTCTTTCTTTATTCTTCTTCCTCCTCCTCCTCCTTATCATATTATTATTATTATTATTATTATTATTATTATTATTATTATTGTTGTTGTTGTTGTTGTTGTTGTTGTTGTTGTTGTTGTTGTTGTTGTTATTATTATTATTATTATTATCTTTTTTTTTTCTTTTTTCCTTTTTCTTCCCATTATGTACACAAGTTGTTGTTGTTGTTGAAATGTAAATATGCTATATGCGATGATTATATTTAATAAAATCAGAAAATTAGTGGAGTGAAAAACTGGAGGAATGAGGAATAAAAATTACACTACTGGAAATTCTGAAATTTCCGACCACCTGAAAGTGATCTTAAATCAAGTTGAAAGTCTTGTTCCGACCACTTTTGGTATCCGGAAAAACCTTTGTTGCTATTTCCGACCACTTTTTGAACTTTTTGGTATCAACTTAATTTAAGATCATTTTCAGGTGGTCGGAAATTTCAGAATTTCCAGTAGTGTTAAAAAATTGGAGAAATTGAAAATTAGAGGAATGGGAAAGGAATGCTGGAAATCGAAATGGAGATCCAATGGTACTAAGTTGATCTCCTATGTGGGAGGTAGTGATGGGTTCGAGCCTTGGTGGAGTCCTTCTCTCTCCTATACAGTTGCGAATAAACTCATGTTGCGACGAGTGCGACATATTTTCGTCCGACATCTCTCGTCCACCTTAGCCATAACAAAAAATCACTAATCGGCTTGCTCTTAGCAATTAATTGTTCTTTTGTTGGTGTCAAATCAAGATTTTGTATTTTTACTCACAATTATTAGTCAGAAATCAATTGAATTATCTATGACCACAATTAATTTAAACAATTAATTGTTTTATGATATATATGATTGTAGCGTATGCACTAATTGCAAATTGGTGTCCAATACCAACAAGTGGACTCAAAAGTTTATCATACAATTTATATGTAAAAATGTAACAAAAGAATTTTAGAATTCTAAAAGTACACCATCCATGTAAAATTACAAACTAAAATAATCACTATGAGTTGTACTTTTATATATTCATAGGGTGCATGTACATTGTGGTGCACGTTGAGACATTGACGCCTTTAGATCTTATCTGTCCGCTATGTTGTATACTTGATTTGATTGAGGGGTTATATTACCTATTTGTGTGAATATATAATTAGTATTGTTGTCTACCAAAAAAAAAAAAAAAATTAAATCAGTGATCTCTAGCTTTTTATAGCCCAGTGTCCACATAGACTCATGGAAAGGGGTGGACTTACCTGAACAGTACCATATATATATATATATATATATATATATATATATATATATATATATATATATATATATATATATTGGACAACATGAGAACAAGTCTGTAAAAGAAAACTAAGAGCAAATCACAATCTTACATCTGGAAAAATTGAACGCACCAAATAAGATTTTTTTTTAAAATGCGATGACAGTTTCATAATTATCACCAACTTTACTATGCATATATGAACTTTAAAATCTGCAATTTTTACAATTTTTCAGGTTTGAGCATTTAGTATTAACGTTTTGCACATTTAGTGTTAACATTTTGCATATTTAGTATTAATCAAAAGTTTGCATTTGCAAAAATGCGAAAGTACATTGCAATTAGGGTTTCGATTTTAGAGTTTATTATGATTGAATTTTTAATTTTATTTGGTTTAGTGGTTCACTTTTTACTGCTTAAGGTCTCACATTTACACTTTAGATTTAAAATTTAGCCTTTTGTTGATTTTATAGAATTTACCAGGTTTGCATATTTAGTGGTTAAAGGTTGTATATTTAAGTTTTAAAGTTTGCACAGTGGAGTTGATGATAATTACGAAACTGCCACCACGTCTCATACCATCACATTTTCGAGAGACAGGGTGTTGACTTGGCGCTTGATCGGTCACCGCTCAACAATCTCCTAGCTATGCATCGAATGTTGGGCTTGTCCTTTCACCGGCCTCCGCCCAATAAAGTCATAATCCAAGAGTTACAAAGAAAAATCTAAGTCATGTAGCATCAGTCTGTGCTATATTTCTAAGTTATACAATTCAAACTCTTTCAATATGCGAATTGTACATATACTAGTGCAAGCCTACATCCCTTTTTCAATGAGAGACAAAGCTAAGACTCATTTAAAACCTTCCCCCAACTCCACTTTCTCAACTCTAATGGGTATATTCTCATTCACCTATATTTATTTTGTACACATATAATATATCAAACTAAACATTTCACTTAGGAGTACCTGAATCTACTTTAATTCGACCCAAACAGAAAATTTATGATCACTTTAAATGTCACAAATAACTAATTCATGTGAAAAACCATCTTCAATTCCCTCTTCACATGAGGTGTGTGCTCCTAATATAAAAATAGCTCATATGAGAGACAGGTAGGAATGAATATAAAGGAAGGATCTGATCGAGTACGTAATAAATAGTATACCAGAAGCAGAAGAGTGTTTTTACGATAGACGAGAGAGGCGAGGCGACGGTAAAGATCTTTCATTTGCTGCCGACGATTTTTCTCCGTCGTTATATTATAGACCGCGGTGCATGTGCACCGCGGTCAAAAACGGCGCCGTTTCTTTAAGTAAAGAAACGATCCGCCGTTAGAGTTAATGGAGTCTGCTTGTTTGGTGTATTAAACACCAACTGACACTATAGTATATCTAAACCGACACTGCAGTTATATCAAAATGATACTGTAGTTATAGTGAAATGAAACTGCAGTGTATATAAAATGAAACTGAATAACATTTCACATATTTGAGTGTATATTGTACAATGAAGCTGTAATTATATCAAAATGATCATGTAGTTGTGTTTTAATGAAACTATAGTGTATATAAAATAAAATTAAATAACATTTTCACATATTTGAGTCTATAAATATCGAATGAAACTATAGTTATATCGAAATGAAACTGTAGTTGCGTTGAACTGAAACTGCAGTGTATACAAAATGAAACTGAATAACAGAGTTACTTTTTGCAAAAGGGTGCAAAACGGCGGAAACAAACACTATTTATTTTCATTTAAAAAAAAAAAAAAAAAGACAAATGCACCGCGGTGCATAATATAATTTGCCCGTCAAATGCCGGCCAGGTCTCGGCGGTGAGCTGCTGGTGGGCTTCATGTTTTAATATAATTGGGCTAATTAACAACGCTTATTTTGATGAGGGAATTATTATAATTATAAGCTAAGATAATATTGAATGCATGGGCAATGGGCTGTATTGTGGGCATGCCTATATATAGGTATAAAATCTGTATTGATGTGTTCTGAACTCGGGTCCAAAACGATATCGTTT